CCTTGAAACAGAGAAAGGCATTGACTTTATTGTTCTAGGGCACATTTAATCGCCTGGTGATTAGGTTAATGAGAAGTATAGTTGCTGATCAGAGATTTTGTTTACCTGTTTTTTTACGCACGGAAAAAATGGAGTTGGGTTTCTGTTTCTTTCCATTGATTTGTGGTTTGCGTTTTGTATCGTTCTGCTGATTTTAGAGGTTTTGTTATACCAGTAAGATCTCTTATATGGTGCTTGTGTTTGTATCCAATGGCAGAATGTTATAACTTTATAATGGGAAACTTATGAGCATTTGGGCGTCATTATAATATTATTTTTGAACAGCTCTTGTTGAGATGATAAATGTAACCAAACGTTTTCCCATGCTTTGCTTGTTTCAATTATGCTTATCTCAGTTTTGAAATTGAAATGGTTTTATCCAGGTCCTTGTAGTGTTCATGGGGTCTGAACCAATCACCGTGAAATCAATCCGTACGATTCATAGCGAGATTTCGAGCCGTGTAGGCTTGCATGGTCTGATTCTGGTTTTACAAAGCAAGATGAACCACTTTTCTCAGAAGGAATTGACAACCTTTGCTTTAAAAGTTGAAACTTTCCCGGTAAGCAGTTTTCCGTTTCGCTAACATGATGAAACATTGTAGATAAAAGTGTGAATTCCCGGGATTTGGATCGTACTGGACGGATTATGAAACTGATACCTGACTTAACAAAGTCACCTGAAAAACATTCTTAAGAGAGCAATGGGATGGATTTAGTTGTTTCATACTTCCAACTGAACACTTGCATGTTTAAAATGTATCTGAATGTGTCAACAGATAGGAGATTTGTTGGTCAGCATCACAAAGCACAGTGGGCAACCAAAGATTGAGATTTTAACCAAAGAGGAGAAAGAAAAGTTGCTGAGTAAGCATGGACTTGAGGACAAACAGGTCTGCTTTAATTCTGCACAAAAGCTTCTGCAATCTTCGCCTTCTGTATTCTATGTTTTAATGGATGTTTCTGTTTTGTTTTCAGCTTCCTTATTTGCAGGAGAAGGACAGCTTTGCGAGATACTATGGGTTAAAGAAGAGACAGGTAGTGAGGATTACATACAGTAAAGAGCCTGTTGGATCTTTCGTCACTTACCGATGCATCATGTGAAGAAAAGGCAAAACTCATTGCACATCGAGACATTCCAACTTCTTTCCCTATTCCTTCTCCTGGAAAATAGACTGATTGTTATGACTACAGTAGTTTATTTGTCCTTCATGATTGCTGACAATTTTAATAAGAGATTGAATCTGGTTTTGAAGGCGTAAAAAACTTAAGTGCAAACTAACACGAGTGCTCCAAAATGTAGTTCTCATGGAAGTACGTACGTGTAACAAGAAGAGAGGTTTTCAACAAGCAAAAAGAAATCTAATTACAAGAATAAGAGCTTCACATGAAAGTAGTAAAGAGGAGATTGTTTCATGAGATGTAGAGAGATGTTGTCTACTCTAATGAATTCCTCAAGCTCCTCTTTAACACAGCAACTTAACCTGATTGACAACAAAAGTAACCATATGTAAGCTCTATGAATCGCATATAAAACGGCATGGAAGCAATATATAGTAAGAAATTATTTACCCTTCTAAACTTCACAACTTTCTTTTGTTTCCTTGGGATGCTTCAAAAACCCTCTCACCAACGGTACTACTGGATCCAGAGTTCGGTGCATTCCCTAAAGCAAGTGAACCTGCAGGCCTTTCTTCCTCTTTTGCTTTCTGTTTACTTATGCAACTCTCTCGTGTGCTGCATTTAGGAAAATTCCCTTTTTCTCCAGTTCCAATCTTTGAAGAAGCGGGTGACTCTGGTCCTTTCATATGCTTTGCCGCCAACATATCGAAAGGGCTATGAAAGAGCAAATGAGCCACAGTTCTGTCTGTGGGATTGGTCACTCTTTCTGAGTCTGGCATGCCAGTATATCTGTAATAATAAAAACCAATAGCTAGCTATGTAAACCACATATTGGTTTTAATGATGAAGTTTATCTAAAACGCAATCACCAATCAAAGAATTATGATAGCACATAAAAGAGTGTTAATGCATATGCTTGCAGCATCCAGATGGTTCTTGCTGAGTAAATTGATTCATACAGAGCAAGAGAAACCTGCTTATAAGGATAAATTCATTTTTTTTTCCCAGTGCAGAAGGAACTCAT